CTACCAACTGAACAATCTCGGTCTGAAGCAACTTGTGGTATATTCCTTGCTCAAGGGAATTCGTGGCTGAGACACAAAGACTGAACTCCGCCGGAACAGAACTCGGTAACGCGGAGTTCGCAGCTGATCTCTTTGAAACCGCGGGACCACGTCACTTGAACCATGCCACCAAGAGAACATTTGCAATCCTTATCATAACATATTACCAAATCAGTGGAAAACAGAAGCGAAGAAACCCTAAGTTCAAACAGTTTATCTTGTTATATTGCTGTTAATCACTCACAAAACATTACTTTAAATAATTAGTTCGATTCATCAATTGATTTACGTTGACATGAGATATCGCAAAGATGTATGGCAACATGGCGTTCGCTGCTCTCTTCTGCCATACTTCATTCTGATGCTTCATCTTGAGCCATTACACTACTACAACACTTTTAGATGCCTAGGTAGAAAAGCAGGGGGCATGTAATTATGGTACAACTAAACGATAGAGTACCTGCCTATGAATCGAGGAATAACCAGATAAACATAACATAATAAATGCCACACATAAGCTATTATAACTAGAGAATGCTGGCGGGACCCACCGCACCGCACTAATCGCATTACATTAGGCCACACATTATGAAGCAATGGATCAATGTTGATCATTAAAGTTGTAAATATGCGCAAAAAGTGATGAAGGCGGTTAGAATCGAGTCAATCAGTGAACGCCAAGTAGGAATTTGCTTGACTTACTTGACAAGTCCATCACAACTTCAGGAAGGTCTTTTATCAGCAACGTCAAAGAATTCACGATCACGTTTTGCGGGTTCGAAGCATCTAAAAAATACTCTGCCAGTTCTGAATACTTATAAGTAATTCAACAGTTCATATACGAAATTCAAAATCTCATGAATAAAGAAAATTTGGATACTTATTCTTAGAAGCTTACAAGATCTACAAGTGCACCCGCAAAGCGTACACTTAAAAACGTCGATTAATTCGACAGAAAAATTTGCATTCCTCAAAGAGAAATGTTTAATTAGGCCACCTCAGAGTAAGTAGACATTAATTAATCAGTTACACTTTAATTAGTAGTTAGTTCAAGAAATTGTTGAAGACAGTGACTTCTTGTAAGATTTAGACACTACTGTAGAGATACTTAAAACACCGTAAGTAGGCGGCTTACCGACAACGACGTTTTCAGCATTGCCCAGCAGCTGCTCTTTATACCGCTGAAGACTCGGGTCCTCTTTGTCCTTCTCAAGAATTTCTTTCACAGACACTTGCGCAGGAGGTTTGTACGGCACCTGAGGCTCAATTTCGTCTGGCAAATCGCTGTTCTCTGGATCAGCCATTGTGCTTAAAACAATAACGTTAATACAAGTCAAAAAATTCTGAACCGTTGACGCGCACAGAAAGAAATGTAAAAACTAGGCAGCTAATAGACAGGGAGTCAGTACGACGAGGGGATAAAGTTGCACAGGACAATGTATTAATAAAATTGTCAAAAACAAACGAAGCCCAACATATGCATCACGCACAGTTGCCCAATCTCCTGCCATTGCAATGCTACAGCGAACGATGCCTTTATTCTAATTTATCTGGTTATCATTTTTTACTTTACTGCTCTAAACTTTTACAGTGTCCTTCATTTTCTTTCTTTAAGTGTTTCGTATCTGAATCATTTTGTTTTTGTTTTCTTCGCGTATTGCTTGTATTCCTAATCTTACCTGCTTCTTGTTATTTTTATGTGCCTTGCACAACTTTTGTTTTCCTGCTGTTTAGTGTCTTTATTATTTCTCCTTTTCAACTTTTTGCGTTTTTCATTTTATTCATATTTTCACTCCTTTTTATATCTTCCTTTTCCTTAATTTCCTCACATTTCTCCTCTTCTGTAATTAGTCTTTTATGGTCTTCCTTTTTCCTTTGCTTGTATTTCTTAGTGTTTCTATTCATCTCAACTTCATTTTTTTCGCTGGGCTTATTCACGTTTTTTGCCTTCTTATTTTCAGTAGTTTTATTTCAGTTTCTTCCTGTTTGATGTTTTGAGCGTGGTGGCACAGTCACCGGATTTGATGCCGGGTTCAAATTCGCTGAAATGACTATCTTTGCTTTAATCCCGAACTGCCCTGCACAATTAACCCAACCGCCTTAATACCAACTGCCAAAAAATGTAAAAAGTCGTTGACTTGTGATTCACAGAGGTAGCACGATATTCTGGCCTGTTTATGCCAAAATGGAGGGGATGTAAGGACAAGTTGTCCGATGCCAGTGCTCCATACGGCTGCACCTCGTCTTCACCCACTTGATAGCTGACTATCCATACAAGCAGGACATTTTCTCACCATCTTCTATTTCACGCATTTCACTGTTCTTCCCCTTCTAACCATAA